CCTCCACGGATGAGAGCGCCTCCGCCCGACTCCTCCCCCCCGCACCCCTCCGGCGCCGTCGCCCGCGCTTCGCCCAATCATCGCTAGCCGCCGCCGATCCCTTTGTCTGGACCGCTGGAGCAGGCCAACGGGATAGCTCGAGGGCGCGGGCGGAACGCAGCTTGGCCAATCGGCGCACTCGAGGGCGTGGCTTGTGTGGGGCGCAGCAGCCTGGAAGGATTTCGCCGGCAAGAGCTGCGGGGACTCGAGCGAGGAGCCCGGGTAGGCCGGCTGCAGACGGGTTCTGCTCTTCTGACCGACCCCCCCATCTGGATAGCACCGTAGAGCCAACAGGGGGACGTGGGAGGGTACGTCGCGGCTGCGGGAGCGGGACGGCGACGTGGAGGAGGTCCGCGCCGAGGCCTCAGAGGACTTGGTCCAGAACAGCACATTTCAGCCTAGAGGGACTTGCGAAGCGAAGTGCAGGCTGCACAGCCTCCCAGGGGAAAGGAGTGTGTGGCATCGAAAGTCCATAAATTGGAAGAGCCTGTGAGATTGGGGGCCGATGTCCCAGGCTTACCCAGGATGAGCAGTGACCCGTTATTTCCTGAGCTAAGAAATGTCAGGAGACAGCCAGTGGCCCGGGAGCAGAGCTGGGGTCACCACAGCCAGGGCTGCGCTGCTCGGTGCCTCCCACCCCATGGGGGCACATGTCCTGTCCAAGATGTGAAGCCAGGGTCTCACCAGTGCCCTCCTGTGGGTCGTGGGGGGGCAGAGACAAGCCCCAGAGGGCTGGCTGCTGACTTCTCCGACAGAGATCTGCTCAGGCAGGTTGGCTTGTGCCCAGAGAAGGACCGAGGTCATTCCCAGCCTCCATGTCGAGAAAGAGAACCCACAGCCTGTGGGCTCCTGTGGTCCCAGGCCTTGGAGAGGATGCTTTTCAGACTTTCCTTGGTTCCCAAACCTTGACCCCAAGTGAAATCACAAACAAACCATAATGGAAACGGAAATACAGCAATATGGTCAGCTCAGTTGGCAGCTGCTGGGCCTGGAGATTGGGATGGGCCCTTTCCTGTGGGATTCGGTTTGTGAGTCCGAGGGAGAGGTGAACCCTGGTGCAGATAAGGTGTGCAAAGGTGGAGCCAGGGCTAGAGTCCAGTCGCAAACATCCCAGGACCTGCCAGGGGCTCAGCCTGAACATCTTTACTCCCCATGTCCCTGGCCCCATTGTCACCATCCAGTTCCTTGTTGCCAGAGCCACTGGGCAGTGACTTCTAAGGCTCTGAGGGTCACAGGATCAGCTGTTCACCAGCCTGGAGAATGGTCAGGAGCTCCCAGCAGCTCGACCTGGTCCAGTCGCAGCTGTATCTCATAGACCTGGATCGATAAGCATCCAAGGCCTGAAACCTGAACCAGTTTAGAGGCCTCGAAGGGACTGAATCAAGATATCTGTTTGGACAGTTTCTAACAGTATCCACTCCCACCCTCAAGCCCTGGAAATTATAAAAAAAATGTTAAAATCCATTATAACAAGAGAGGAAGGGTGCCTGGGGAGAGCGGTGGGCATCACAGGGGCTGGAGTAGACCACAGCATGAGAGCTGGCAGGGATGGTAGCTTTGAGGGAGCCATGCTCAGAGGCTTCTGGGCAACTGTTAGGGTGATTGGTGTGGTGGGTGATTGATGGCCCTTCCCTGGCCGTGTCCAGCTGGGGGCAGTGGACAAAGAAAATATCTGTTTGGGCCAGGGTGTGGCGGTCCATGCCTGTAATCCCAGCACCCGGGAGGCTGAGGCAGGAGGATAACAGCGAGTTCAAGGCCAGCCCCTGAACTACATAGCAAAACACTGTCTCAAAAAAGAAAACATCTTGTTGGCAAATAGCACCTGGAAAGATCAGGGAGTCCACTGTCCTCAGGGTCAGCACTGATGCTTGCAGCAACTTGCCTGGCTTCCCACAGTCTCGAGGCTGCTGACCACTTGCTGAGGGGATACATCAGGCATAGCTTCCCGGGCCAGGTAGGTGGATGACACTTCCAGGGTTCCCTTGCGAGGGGTGTGGCCGTGCAGCTAGTTCTGCTGAGATGAGTGGCCTTTGTGCTCTCCAGCTGTCCACTCTGTTCAGGTGTGAGTCCACAACCAGAGGAACCACCATCGGCCTGGGCATTGAGTGACTGGGGGAGTCAAGGAAGTGGAACCGTGACTGTCCTCGGAGAGGAAGATGCTTCTCCTTTGTTGGGGCTGCTATGCCAGGCCGTATACGTCAGCGCCATTGAACATACAGTTAACTCACCTTCAATTTACCTCAGGCTACATAATGTGTCTTGGCTCTTGGATTTTACATCTGCCTCCTTTTCGTGGCCTCTGGGTGGGTGGTGGGCACTCCCCTCTCCTAGCTTTGGGACTGGTAGCCTGGCTCACCCTGCCCAGTGGGACGTTATCATATGTGGAGGTGGCAAAGGCGTGGAACGTGCTGGCCAGGCAGGGTTCCACCGGGAAAACTGCCCAGTGGAAGACAGGAGAGTGGAGCAGATGCTAATGGGAAGCCAGGGGTCCCAGGAGGCGAGAAGCTGGAGCACCTAGTGTCCCAGAACCCAGGTCTAGCCTGGCTCAGTGGGCACTCACTCCTGGGCAGGCGGACTCCTCACTGCCGGTGTGAACCACTCTAGGGTGGTTCTTTAAACAGCGCCATGGTGACAGCTGACGGAGACGCCTGCAGGACTAATGGAGAAGTCATTGCACAGGGAGTTGGGGGGATGGGCCCAGAACATGTGGCATCAGCTGAGCACTGGGAAAGCTGAGCAAGGGGAAGGAAAAAGCCAGAACCTTACTTAGCCGGCTGCTCTCGAAGCTCTGCCCAGTCCTGCTCCAGACAGCACCCCAGAAATGTGGGCTCACCGGTTGGAGAGCATTGTTTATACCTCAGACAGTAGGAGAGAAGATTGTTATTGCTTCGAGGCCTGCCGCAAAGACAGCTCAGCCAAATAAGAGGGCTTAGGCCTGTGACAGAGCTCAGATTAAGGATCAGGTTGCTCAGATTAAGGATCAGGTTGCCCGGGAGGGAGCGGGTAATTGAATGGGCCCTGGGCTGTCAGTGGGATCAGTGCGGCCAGGGAAACTGCATCTGGACCCAATGAGCAGCTCCTGGCCCCTGGCCACGCGGGCTGCTGCAGGGCTTCCCCTTGAGATGACCTTGTCTACGGTGACCTTTTCCATGTGTGGGGAGAAGCCAGGGTGCTACTGGATCTAGGAAGGCCAGAGAGCAGGCTGGCAGGCGCCCTGCTGTCCACCCGAAGCCGCTGCTCTTCTCATGGGGCACCTGGCTGTACTACCTCCCGGATCCCTCCTGGTAGGTGTGGCCACCAACAGAATGTGACAGAAGTGATGGGCACCAGTTTCGAGCTCATACAGTTGTCCTGTGGTTTCCCCTTCCCATGGTTGGAGTGCAGACAATGTTTCACAAAAGCCATCACCTCCAGGACCCAGAGGGCTGTGTGGAGCCTCCTCAGGTGGGTCAGTGAAAAATGCGCTGCGAAGGGACCACACTTGTAATCCCTGATACTTAGGAAGCTGAGGCAGGAGGACCACAAATTTTAAAGCCCAGCCTGGGCAACTTAGTGAGTTAGGAAGACCCTGTCTCAAAAATATTATTTTAATTTTAAAAGAGCCTGGGATTTAGCTCAGTGTAAAAACCCTAGGTTCAGTCCCCAGTATGGTGGGGGCGGGGAAAGGGAGAGCAACAGTTTTAAAACACAGAATATTTCAAAACAACACTAGTAATATCTTCAGAGAGGAAGTTTTTGTCTTTATAAAACAGAATCTGGGGACTGGAGGCATGGCTCAGTGGTAGCGTGTGTTTAGCATTTGTGAGGCCCAGCACCAAAAAAGAAGAGAAAACAAAGAATCTGAAAAAGAAAGGACAAAAATCACAATAATAAAAGAATACGGGGAAGTGAATGCTCAGACGATTTTTGCTTTCTTCCTTACAATTTTCTGTATCAGTTTCACAAGAATATATTATTTATAGACTCGAGAAAAATAAAACCACGTTCATTTGAGAAAATAAAAATAAGCTTTAAAGGATATCTCCAACAGTCAGCTAGGTATCTTGGGAAATAAAAAATTGGAGCCTGGAAATCAAAATGCTCAATAAATAGGTGGGCCAAGGAGTGGATGTGCCTGGGCCAAAGAATCCCCAAGGCCAGAGAGGAAAAGGACAAAAACACGGTAAGTGTGAGGGAAAGGTTAAGAAACACAGCAAATGGGCGCATCGTTTTCTACATCCACTTAGATGGAATTCCAGAGGAGACAGGAAAGAAAAGGGAACTAATAGAGCTGTCCGGGGCTGACAGAAACACTGTGATAACATTTTAGAATGGAGGAAAGAAAAATACAAGTTCACATTAGGGGAAAAGACCAGGAAAAGCCCAACATCTGACGTGACAACTCGAGGCTCAGCCTCGGTGGAGAGGCACCTTCACGGCTAGCGGAGGCGGCGATCCTGCAGCCTGCGATTCGGTGCCAGCCCCGACAGCCTTCGGTGCTGAGGAAAAACAAACATTGTTTTCGGTCATGCCAAGTGTTCCGAGTGTATTTCCAACAAATACTATCTGAAATAATTACTAGA